ATATACTAGTATCGAAAAATGATGAAAGTAAATATGACTGCATGGTTCAGGACTGGCTAGGTTGCTTCATGATAATGAAAAACAACAACAACAACAAATCCTCTTGACCATTATTCATTTAGTTCATTCTTTTCCCACATACAGAACAAACAAATATCTGTTCTTCCAAGATTATAGGTAGTCACTATATCACACTTAAAGTCCAGTACTTCTGAGAGATGTTCAGTCTAGATATGATTCTTTTTGATCTACAGACATCTGAACTGATCTGCTCTGCCCTTCTGTTTCATAGGAAGGAAAACAGTAATAACGTCTCCAATTTGAAACCAGGAAGAATGAGACATATGTAAGCCTCTTGCCAATAGCAATTCTGAAATTTTTCCAGGTACATTTCTGAGTAGGGTTTATACCCTGGAAGCAAGAAACCTTCTTTGACAGCCCTTATTTCTACTCTTTTTAAAACAATATATTTTTTAAATATTTTAAAATGGGCCATGTGAAGCTTGTCTTCAGCTCACATAATCAGTCTCTATCAATCTAGGTTCATGAGTGTATTGGACCATAGTAATCTCTCACAAACTCAGTATACTCCTTACCTATTAATTTTTGAGAATTCTGTATTCTAGTTACCATATCTCTTGTCCTTTCTAAAACTTGATTCTTTGCTGTCTTGCTTCCTTACCTCTTTATGAATTTAAGAGAGCTTCTATGGAAAAAATTATACCCTTAATCTGATTCCATTTGTCAGTTTAACATTAAAATTTTTAGCAGTGAGTGTGATGTTTGTGATGAGTCCTAATGCCTTCATGTTCAAGGGATTTCTGATTTTATTTGTTGTGTTTGGGGTTTTCCCTTCATCTGTTTGAGCTAGTATGACAAAATACCATAGACTGCATAGCTTATAAACAACAAAATTTTTTCTCAATGTTCTGGAAGCCCAAGATCAAGGTACATACAGATTGATGAGGTATCTGATGAGGCTTCACTTCTGGTTCATAGATAGCCATCTTCTCACTGTAACCTCACAATAGTAGAAGGGAGAGGCTTTCATGGGTCCCCTTTATAAGGGCACTGATCCCTGCCTAATAGTGTCATCTGTGGGGAGATTAGGATTTCCATTTATGAATATAGAAGGAACACATTCAGACCATAGCAGGTTTAAAACCTTACGAACTTTGCAAGGCCTAGAATTTCTGACTCTCTCTATTCTCTTTCATTTCTGTTTGCAACCTGGCCATTTCTGTCCTGAGCTCATCTCTTTGTGATTACATTGCTGGAAGCCAACAGCAGTGAACTATGAACCTCATCTTCTAGAGCTACAAATTTATTAGGTTTATGATCCACCTCTCAAGTAGCCTCAGGCAACTGCTTTACCTAGATGCTTGGACATTTCAAAATGAATCCTTATTTTTGTAGCTTTCAAATGTCTAATTTTAATGCCTGACCACTAATCCAGGGCACAATATTTTTGGTTTTTGCTAGAACCCTATTTCTATTTACAAGTATCTACATTAGTATATAAACTAGGTCATATTGCCTGTTATAATCCTGGGTTTACTTCTTGTCATGCTACATGCCAGTATCTGTCATAAAGGGGCTCTGTTCTACATGGTCACTCAGGGATCCAGGTTGATAAAGACTCCATCATCTTGCATCTGCAACATTGTAACAAGTCAACCCAAAACCTACTGGCTTAAAAAGAAAAAAAATGATTCTGGCAGTTGACTGAGTTTCCTGCAGGGTGAGCCTGTGATCACACATGTATCTGTATTTAGAAGGGGAGTTGCAGGGCTTAGGGGACAACCGCAGCTGCAAACTCTGGGCAGCTTTCTCACCACATGGTCTTTCCTCCATGAAGAGACTAGACCAGTTTCCTTACATGGCATCAGGAAGGCAGATTCCCGTAAACAGGCTTTTTCAAGCTTTCCTTTTGTTGATGTCATGTTAGCCAAAGAAAGTCAGAGCCAAACCCAGTGTCGGTATAGCAAGGGGCTACACAAGGGCATAGATTCTGGAATGTACAACTCATTGATTATGTAACAGTCTACCACAACTATCAGAGCAGGATTCTGCAGGCATTTTTTTTCAACTGGACAGTACTTTAAGCTTTGCAGGCCATATAGTCTCTATTGCAACTTCTTGGCTCTTTTATTAAATAGAAGCAGTATATAAACAAATTGAGCATAGTTCTGTCCAGTGAAACTCTATTTTCAGTAATAGGTAGTGGCCTCTCACTGATCTTTATTCAGTCTTTGCAGCAGCAGGAGACAGATCGTTCTACGCACAATGCTACCTTTAGCACAATGGCCAAACTAGTCACATGGCCAAACCAAACAGCAAGTGCAGGGAGTACAATTCAGCTTTGTGGCTTTAAGAGGAGGGAACTGGACATGGGTGGCCACTAGAAGTCATACCTCAGGAACCACCTTCAGAGATATCCAGTCAAATCATCCAAGGACCAGGCATTGGTATAAGCACTGAAGAAAAGGGACAAAAAACCATTGCTTTTGTGGAACACATATAATCAGTGCCTAAGAGGGGGAAGCACCACAGGCACCTCTGCCCTGGAGCTGGCAGTTCTCATCTCCTTATCTATGCACTTGGCTTTTTTGCCACCTAGGCTGTGAGCAACCTGAGCATATGACTTTTCTGGTAACTGATTCTTTGTGGGTACTGTTTAGGTGTTTGTCAGGGAATAAGTGAAATGATTGAATAACCAAACCATCAGACCAAAGCAAAGAGTTCCTTTACATTTCCGGAGTCAGGGTACGTATGCCTAATTTCTCTTAGGTACCTAGTTTCCTAATCACTACAGCTGCACTATGCAAAGGCTTCAAGTTGTGAGTTGTTGCTCCACATGGGAAAGGAGACAAGGAGAGAAGCCATGGATTCAAGTTTTGTTTCATCCATTCTCATTGTGGGGACAAGGAACACCAGCAAAATCTCTCTCCAGAGTCCAGGTTTTTGGCCAGAAGAAAGAAGTACCTTAAAAGCTTAAGCTAATTTGCTTGCTTTTGAATCTCTCTAGCAGTTAACGGAATTCATCAACTTGCCTTGTCTTTATTATCTTAGAACAGTTAACATGTTCTCATTTCATAAACCTGAAGATGACTCTAAACGCCTGAAGATGATGTTAAAAAGGATGACTATATAATTAGGAATGTTTCTCAAAGAGTATCCATTTTGTTTTAGATTCATGAGCTGAGCCATTTTAATTTCAAATTTTATCATAGTCAAGTTCATTTCTTACCTAGAACAAATAGAGGAAATTCAGGATACAGAATATTTTAAAACAGGTATTTTTGGAAAACAATGCATTTGGAAAATCTGTCTGTGGAGAATACAGATACAACAAATTGACTCATTTTGCTGTAAGAAGTTTATAATGTAGTGATTGAGTCAGGTACACAAAATAAGTAACTAATATTCAAACAATAAAATTCATGATCAAGTAGAAATATGGTTTAAGTGCTTTTAGACTTAGGTACAGGTGTCAAACTGAGGAAGGGAATAGAAAGATTAAAGAAGTGCTTCATGGAATAGAAATTCTTTATACTGCATGTGAAAGATACACAGGACTTGTATGGGAGAAAGCATATTCTAGGCACCAGGAATGATGAATGGCAGACAAGGTTTACGTTAGAACAGTAGCCTGGCAGAGCTGGAAGATCTGATAACACCTGTAGGGGAGGAATAAAAGGAAGAGGCAGAAATGACATCCAGGATGCTGAATATGGGCAGGATTTCTGAGGGAGGAACCAGTCAAGAAAGAAGAAAGAAGCCCAGTCACCCTGAAGTTGCTTCCAAACATCACACTCACTGCTAAAAATTTTAATGTTAAACTGACAAATGGAATCAGATTAAGGGTATAATTTTTCCATAGACACTCTCTTAAATTCATAAAGGAAGCAAGATAGCAAAGAATCATGTCTTAGGACAAGAGATAATGGTAACTAGAATCCAGAATTCTCAAGAATGAAATAGGTAAAGATCATACTAAGTTTCTGCTTCCAAGTATAAGTCTGTGGTCTTGTGTATACTCTCTCCAGTATTGCTTCATGTGTGCAGAATTAGAATAGGTTCATTACTTGTCAAGCAAGCACTAGCTTTTTTCCTTCATCCAGGAATTGTCAGTCTTTCTTCCTTTATTTGCTGTCCTAACATTCATAAATGGCCTAGTTTTGAGCTAAATTGGTATTGCAAATCTTCAGAACCAACATTCCCAAGCACAAAGAAGTTCTTGCCCCAACCCTCAGGTAATCCTGGCTGTGAACATGATGTTCTTGGAGTTGTTTTTCACATAGTTCTGTTCTGTTTTCAAATATTTATCCATTTAGGCAACATTGGTATTTAATGCTGAAAGGACATCAGTTCTGCTGGCCTGGTACCTGGCTTCTGAGATAGAACTTTTTTTTAGGTCCACCTTCTCATGATAGAAAAATTCATTTTGACTCTAAACAAATTGGCTTATCTAAAATTCTTTCTACAAGTTATTTGAGTACTTCAGGGGGCGGGGTTATGAATTGTCTTGTTGGTGTCTTAGGGGATGCTGTTTGTGCCCAGCGAGGAAGGGCACTCACTAGTGTAGTAGTAAGTGAACACTCACGTGCCTGAAAATGTTTTGCACATTGCATTTCAAGTCCAGAGTCTCAGGGTTTTTTCCAAAGAGATTCATATGTATTCACAAAGCTGGCCCCATGGCTGCACTCCAGCTCATACAGGGTTCTTTGCCAAATCCAACAAAGCAGAGAATGAAGACACTCGTGCCCCATCATCCGTCATTTTTTTTTTCTGTGATCCTTACAGCTGGATATTGAAAAATCTGGAATTGATTTTTGTTTTCATTTCAAGTCAGCTGAATTGCCTGTACACATGAATATAAAGAAATATAACCAGGAAGTGTTTGTGGTATTGAATCAGAACTTGAGACATTTGAAGTCAGCCATTTCAGTAGTGTTCTTACTTCTTTTTAAACAGATTCTGAATATTCTTTTTTGCAGGTTGTGTTCCTCACTGGCTTTGGCTATGTGTATGTGGATGTTTTCCATCAGTGTGGCACAGTCTTCATCACTGTGGCCCCAGAAGGAAAAGCAGGATCTATTTTAACCAACACCAACAGGTAGGCCTCATAATTTTCCTAGTAATAGAACAGTAAGCTTTCCCTTTATAAAGTTGTAAACCTGTTATTTAACCATTCCTTCTCATCCCCATATACTCTGAAAACTTTGGATTAATTTTTGCGTAATCTATAAGTTAGAGATAGTAATTAGCACTCAGTCTCTATAATAGGTAGCAATATCATTCTTGGGTCCTCCTTCCAGTTAGTATAACAAACTAATTTACAAACTGAGACATGTGTCTCAGAATTATACCATTATTGTTAGTGTGAAATATAAGTGAATGTTTCTGTGTTCACATGACAGCTTAGTAATCAGCCTTAGCAAGTAGAGCTACATCAAATGTAAATATACCACAAATTAAAATAAAAAAAATAGTTATAAGGTTCAATATTGGCCTCTTCTAGTTGTTTTTTTTAATATTTATTTTTAGTTGGACACAATACCTTTAATTTCATTTGTTTATTTTTATTGGTACTGAGGATCAAACCCAGGGGCTCGAACGTGCTAGGTGAGTGCTCTACCACTGAGCCACAACCCCAGCCCCCTCTTCTAGTTTTTTAGCCATTAGAGTAAAGGTATGTTTGTAAAGTAATATATTCAAGAGTTATTTCAATTTGTTTCTTTTTTCTCTTTCAATGTGTTTAGGATATCCATTTAAAACACACACAAGTAAATAAATAAATAAATATACCTCTTAGAGCCACAGTTTTGACCTGAGTGTTGCCATCAGGTTTTAAAAACATGAAATAGGCAAAGGATTGATATACTAATTTAAAAGAACTCAAGCGAGGTATGGTGGCACATGCCTGTAATCCCAGGGGCTCCGGAGGCTGAGGCAGGAGAATCGTGAGTTTAAAGCTCGCATCAGCAACTTAGCAAGGCCCTTAGTAACTTAGCAAGACCCTGTCTGTAAATAAAAAAAAAATTTTAAAGGGTGTGGGGGAGGCCTGAGAATGTGCTTACTGGTTGAGCACCCCTTGGTTTGATTCCAAGCCATATAATATCCCAAAAATTTTAAAAATAAGTCAAAGAACTCATATACTTCAAGAGGAATAATACAAAGATAACCCTTCTTTCAAAAACTTAATTAAAGGCCAAAGATATGAGCAGAAAATCTAAATCTGAGAGGAGGAAATACAAGTAATCAAAGGAATAGAAGCTTAAATAAGATATTATTTATCAAATTAACAATGGTGATCCAATGAAAATCCATAAGCCTGGAGGAAATGTAAATTGGTGTCATTTCCTGGAAAGCACTTTAGCAATATATATTGAGTTTTAAAATGCCTTTATCTTAAAAATTGCACTTTTAAGTGTTAAGGATATAAAGAAGTGGGGAAAGATAAACAGAGAGTTGTTTATTATATTGCTAAATATAATGGCAAAATATTCAGGGTACAAATGCCCATCAGTAGGGAAATAGATGATACATAAATGTACCAAAAGTGGTACATCACAAAAAATAAGTGTTATAGAATTTTAATGAACTAGATAATGCTTTACTTTTGGTTACATATAATATATATATATAATATAATCAAAATATATATTATAATATATATATAATATAACCAAAAGTAAAGCAGGCTAAACATAATATTAAAGATATAAATATCCTGGTTATGTGTTATCTTTACATATAGACACACATACATATATTATGTATATACACATATTTTCATATTTTTATATAGATATATAAAATAAAATTGAAATAAGACTGAAAGAAAAAGAAATAATCAAAATTGTTAATGTATGTGGGGTTGTAAGTTATTTAATAAATTCTGTATTTTAATTTTCTGTAATAGCATTTATTTATTTTATCATCATAAAATTAATTTAAATTAGAAGGTAAAGTAATAACGTTAACTTGCACAGTTTCATTTAAAGCCATTTTTTATAAAAAAAGTTCTACACTTCTCATGATGGCTAAGAACTCATTAGTTTGGATGCTGCTGATTTGAATTTATAGTATTTCAAACAATATTAGAATGTTTATTTGCCCAAAAGTGTTTTTAAAAAGAATTTTTAATTGTATAGCCCACATTTCAAACCTACACAGCAGTTTTAGAGACATTTTATTTACAGCATAAATATTAATAACAATAACTACAACCTATATATTTGGAGGTAGAAATAAAAACAGTCCAATTAACTACTTACACTTACTTGATTAATTTATTCAATAAATATTTTTAAGTGCCTTCTGGATGACATTTGCTGTTCTAGGGTTAAGGATCATCAATTAATAAAAAGACCAAAACCCCTGCATTTGAGATTATATTCTCATAGGTTTAGAATGGGGAGATACAGAAAATAAATATAACTTGTTTGTAGGTGAATAGGCCCTACCTGTCTATAGTATTTTATTACCTCCTAGTTAATACATTTAAATTACTAATCTACCAAATGGATTAATCCACTGATGGTGTCAAAGCCCTAAGGATCCAATCATTGCCTAAAAGTTCCATTTTATAGTATTTCAAACAATATTATAATGTTTATTTGCCCAAAAGTGTTTGCCATACTGGGGACCAATTTGGGGGCAAGATTCCAGATCCAAGCCATAATATCCAGGATGTCTCGAAACTTTTTGGTCTGAACAGCTGGTAGTATTATGTGGTTACCATTGACTAAGATGGGAAAGACTGTGTGTAGGTTGAGGGATAAGATCAGGAATTTGATTACGGATAGGGCAAGTTGAATATCATTCAGCCATCTAAACCACTATATGGATAGGCTATTAAATATACAGGATTGGAGTTTCAGGAGGAGCTCTTGGCAGCAGCATATGAGTGGTATTTCAAGTCATGAGATTAGTCATAAACTCCCCAAGGAGGTCAGCAGAGGTGGGGAAGAGAAGAGGATTGTGAGCTGAGCGCCATCACTTTAAAAGAACTGGGAAAAGATTTGCACAGCTGACTAAGGGGGAGTAAACAGAGGAGAAGATCTGAGAAAATATATGCAAAGAAAGTGTGTCTAGGAGGAGGGAGTTACCAACAATGTCAGAAACCATTAGCAACTTGCATAAGCACACAACTGAAAGTCTATCATTTGCTTTAGCTAAATGGAGGTCACTGGAGGCCTTGACTAGAGTTGTTCTGTCCCACTGGTGGGGACAAAAGCCTACCTGTAGCAAGCTTTAGAGAGAAAGAAAGGAGAGGAATAGGAAAGAATGCATATAGGAAACACTTTGGAGTCTTTGTATAAAAGGGGTCATAAAAGTGAGTGGTAGAGGTGTTTTCTAAGAGAAGAGAAATAACCACATACTGATAAGCTTCTATTATCTAGGGAAAAGATGTTGTAAGACAGGGCTGTGTCACTGGAGTGATGGCCTTGAACAAGTGAGTGCAGAGGGTCATGCTGCACTTGGAGGGCCCTCCAGAAGAAGCACAAATGGTTCCCTTCCAGAAAGCAAGCAGGGGAAGGGCGCTGGCAGGGGCAGTTAGAGGTAGGCTTCTTGTTGAACTTTCTTCTGCTAGCCTTGCATTTTCAACTTAAAGGGTCTTAGTTATTTTATTTATCTTTGTGCCTGGTGATCATCATGACAGAGAATTAGTGCACAAAAACTAGAGGGAATTGGGAGGAAAATCTGGTGTTGATAAGGGAAACACACACAGAAACATGACAGGAACTTGTAATAATCCCATTGGGAACATTTCCCAATACTGTTCGACTGTGGCTGGCTCTGTCCAGACACGATGTACTGAAAGTTGAGTTCTTGTTTGTTTCTTATGAGAATCTGATGTCCCATCAGGAGTTGTTTAATAAGGCACTATCATTTAAAAAGAAACATGAAAGAAAGAAAAGGGGACTAATGTCCTTTATTCTTTCTCCTCTAGAACTCTGGAGAAGACCATTACCTTTAGAATGTTCATCACCCAGTTGAGCCTGGCAGTGTCGGATGACCTCACCCACCACAGAGCATCATCTGAACTCCTGAGGCTCACACTGGACAATGTTTTTCTGCACATGGCCCCTGTGGCTGGCATTCTTCCGGGGGAGGAGCCTGCTGCCGCTCTCTTTCAGCTTCACTGTGTGGAGGTGTATTGTGGGGATCTGCAGTTGGACAACCAGCTCTATAACAAGTCCAACTTCCACTTTGCTGTCTTGATCTGCCAGGGAGAAAAAACAGAACCTACTCAGTGTTCCAAAGGGCAGAGTCTCCTTGCCTCCAGCAGAGATCTGGAAGAATACAAGGAGAACTGCTTTATCAAGCTCCGTGTCACCTTAACTGAGGGCAAGAGTGTCCCACTGGATGTCAACGAGTTCAGCTTTGAATTGAAACCTGCCCGATTATATGTGGAAGACACATTTGTATACTACATCAAAACCTTGTTTGATACTTACCTTCCTCACAGCAGGCTGGCTGGTCACCCTCCACAGCTCTCTGGGGGAAAGCAGGTGCTACCTCTGCAGGTGAGACAACACGCCAGGGCTTTGGTGAATCCAGTGAAGTTACGGAGACTGGTGATCCAGCCAGTGAATCTGCTTGTCAGCATCCATGCATCTCTCAAGCTGTACATAGCCTCTGACCACACTCCACTCTCCTTCTCCGTGTTTGAAAGAGGACCCATCTTCACCACTGCGAGACAGCTTGTGCATGCCCTGGCAATGCACTATGCTGCTGGTGCCCTCTTTAGAGCAGGTAAGGACACAGCAGATGAGGGTCTGTGATGACAATGACATGCTCTGGGGTAGTGGTTGAGCAATCAGTGAGAGGTGGAACATGTGGGCAGTTAAATATGCATCCAAACCTAGACTCTGCTGCTTTTAGATGTAAGGCTTTGGGCAAGTTATTGACCCTCCCCAAGTCTCAGTGTCCTCATCTATGTAGTGGGTTATAAGATTTTTGTGAAGACCACATAAAAGTATGTAAAGTACCCAACATTTGGCTTGGCACTTAATGAACACTCAAGCAATAATGGCTGTAATATTTTTGCTATTATATGATGTAGAATTTAATTCAATTTAGCAAACACTTTTTAGCAACATGTAGTCACAAGACCCTTTTTAGCATGTTAATGCAGCCAGGAAAACTAGCCCAGGCCCTCTGCTCCTGGGCCTAAAAGAAATCCAGTACTCAGAGATTAGTTTTCTTCATTTCTATTCATGAATACCTGGAGGTGAGAAATTCAGAGGATTTCTGTGCTAAGATGCACAAAGAGCCCCCTGCCTGCCCTGTGCCATGCTGCCTGTCTAGACGGATTGCAAAGAGAAGGCTGTCAGTGTCTCAGCCCCTCTATAGACCCAACTCCAAAAAGGAAGAATGGCCATTGCTCATCCTGACCACCCTCTAGTGCCAGGCAGGTGGCCTCCTGTAAGCCAGAGGTTGCTGTTTCTCAGGGGCTCAGTGAGAGAGGTAAGGCTTCCCTTTTCAGTCTGGCTGGAAAAGTCTGCAAGGAGTGGTTTGATATGTGTACAAAAATCTTATATGGGCAGTACTGTTCACCAAAGATTGAGTGTTGGGAACCATGTGGTGTCAGAGTACTTTATAGTAATCAGCATCAAAGCCTGTGTTCCTGAGCCAAGTTCACTCTAAAGTAGTTTATTTGGTAGTCTGGCTCCTCATGGCCCCAGGAATTCAAGCTGAGCACCATCCCAGGTCGGCATCATCAGCCTTCTCCAGGAAAGAACATAGAAGTCTAACTTTCTGAAAGTGACAAAGGAGAGAACATCTCTCCTACCCTCTTTGTGACCATGTACTTGGTTAATGCATTCCCATAGAAGAATCAGATTGTAGCAATAAAAGGCCCATGTTATCACTGGTGAGATGCCAGTAACCAGCCATGTTGGTAAGATTACATTTTCCTGCAATGAAAGTCCTAGAGTTAAGAGAGCTATCCAGACTCCTTTATAAAAGAAAACGACAAGATCAGGGAGAGGGCCCTGCCAGACCTGTTGTTTTGAGAGCTTGCACAACAATGAAGAAAATATTTTCCTCTTGCTAAGAAGTCATTTAAAAATAAGCAGTTAACATTTCAAATTTAATAGATGGATATATTTACAAACCATTCCAGAAACATACCCTTTCAGGCAACTTTTCTTTTAACATGAGAAGCAGACATGTAGGTTACTGAGCTCTGATCTGAGGCCAGGGGAGGAGTAAGACTCTGTGTGGTCACTGGGTATGCCAAGGTGCGGGAAGCACCCATCTGTTAATGAGCTGGAGGAGAAACCCCACCTGTGGCCCCAAGTAACCATGGCCCCTGCAGCTTGTGTGCTAAAACTGATCTCTTCGTTTTGTTTTTAATGAGGTTTCACAAGAACATTCTGTTTGTAGTTTCTGTAATCCACTAAAAATCCTTTTGCTGTCCCAATCTCACTGTATACCAAGACAAGAAATTCTAATACAGAGAGCCAAGTTTTTAGAGCCTGTTGGAAACTCTGTCACTAAAAATCTATGGTCAATTGAGGATTATCTGAAAGCAAGCAGTGATCCAAGGAGTAGGATATGGACAGATGGCCAGAGGTGCCAAGCCTCTGGCCAGGTAGAGAAGTCTTAAAGAAATTGGGCCAGCAGGACGAGGGCTGGCCTGGGAGCGAGCACATTGCATCTCACTTGGGTCAGCTTCCATCCACTGGACTAGAGGAGAAGGTTCCTGGCCACAGTGGTAAAAAACACCCTGACCTCATTTCTAGGGAAGTTTGTGGATCATTTGAAGAGTTTTTAAAAATAAGTAAATGGTAATTTGAAATGAGTAACCCTATTTGAAAGAAAGAATGTGGGCTTGAGAATTTCCTGAGGTCCCTGTCTACCTCCAAGTCTCAATTTCATGGGAAGCCAGACAGACTACCTTTGCCAACCAAATTTCCAAACAACTAAGCAAAAGATAAGCTGGGCCCTCTGTATCTGCACATTCTGCATCTTCAGATTCAACCAACTACCAATCAAAAGTATTTGAAAAAAGAATTGTATTTGTACTGAACATGTATATACTTTTTCCCATCAGTATTTCCTATAAAATATGGCATGACTCTTTGACATAGCTTTTACATTTATTATTAGGCCTAATAAATAATCTAGATTAAAGTTTAAAATCAGATTTAAAATTAAAATCAGATTTTAAAATCTGATTTAAAGTTTACAGGATAATGTGTACAGGTTACATGTGAATATTATGCCATTTTATATAAGAAACTTGAACATCTTGTTATCTTTGGGGGACCTAAAACCAACCCTTTATGGATACCAAGGGACAACAATGTTTGCTTTTGGATGAAAATAATTAAAAGGAATATCCTTTTCTGGCCAAAGCAGTTTCCTGCACTTTTCTGGCCAAAGCAGTTACTACTGAGATGTACCTCTGGTCCACAAATAGCCTTCCACCACTCATACCTTCCAGTTACTCTCAGACCTGTTAATTAACTGAGGATCTGTCACAATGCTGTCCTCCAAAGGCTCACTGTTGAGGGAGAGTGCTCCCACGTGGCTCTTTAATCCCACACTCTTCCCACAAAAGGGGCCCAGCACCAGCCTGGGGGGCTGGCAATGTGTTCCTGGAGGAAGTTGCCTTTCAGATTCCGCCTCCCCTGCCCTTGGCCCACTCCTGCCCCTGTAGTTCTCTGGGATCAGAGTCCCGCATCCCCACCCCAGGCAGAAGGGGAAGGTAAGTCTCTGCCAGACCTGCACCACAGCCTCATTCCCACGAGGCAGCCATGGCCAGGCTGAGCTTAAGTAGGTAACAGGATCCAAAACTACCCCCTGGGACATCAACTGGGAACACTTACTAACTTAATCAGTATGTCCCTGTTGCTGATGTTTACACAACCAAAGCTGGGGTTGAAGGGGAGATGTTTGTCTGCCTCTAACCCTGCTCTGAAGGGAAGCACTCAACTTGGTAGGATTGGGAAAGATTAAAAATAACTCCTCTATCCTTGTCAAAAGTTTGTGTCCCCTTTACAGCACCCCATTTAGCATCTGGCCTCTCCCCCTGCCCTGTGCAGTTCAGGAGGAACTGCCCCGCCTGGGAGCACCTGCAGCCCAGAGCGCAGGCCGGCTAGAGGGAGCCCCCTGCACATGGATCCCTTTTACGGGAGTCCAGGAGGCTCAGGCAAGGAAGTCATATTAAAGCCATTTGTGAGGCTGCCAGAGGATCACTTTGATTTATAAAGTATGAAAGTTCACCATTTATGAATTCTCAGTGAATGAGTTATTTCCCATATTTTGCTCCAAAGAAGCTTATTACACTCTCAATTCTAGTGTGAAAAATGAATTGCTGGGAAAATGGGCCACTTTTTCACAAATGTTGAAAGTGCGGTAGTCGAGGTTTCAGTAACCCTTTCCTTTGGTCTGTTGCAGGCTGGGTGGTGGGGTCTCTGGAGATCCTTGGCAGCCCAGCAAGCTTGGTGAGGAGCGTGGGGAATGGGATCGCTGACTTCTTCAGACTTCCATATGAGGGACTGACCCGAGGCCCAGGAGCCTTCGTGAGCGGAGTTTCCCGAGGGACAACATCATTCGTAAAGCACATTTCCAAAGGTAGCTCTCAGTTCCTTATGATAATGCCTTTATCTCATTCCTTCCTTATCCTACTTTTGTGAAGACCACGTTGAAGGTGTAAATGTGCTCACATCGCCTCTAGCTTGTTTGGTTTGTTAGCTTGCAGTGAAATGCTGGATTTGTAACAAAGCTCATATATAATGTCTTAGGTTTTAAACAGATCACTGCTTGCCTGCAGTGTGTGAAAATGTTTCAGAAACTTCAGAATCTTAAACCTCCCTTTGGGAAAACAAGGATTGGCTCAACTGTTATTCCGTGTGATGAATGCAGATATATTAAAGGTGTTCAGGATTTCTGCTAAACATCAGAAATCCTACACTGTGTTGCCTCATCGTGTTTTTTTTAAAAATGTAGATACAGTTGTCATAACTTTCTTAAGGTTATGGATGCATTTTGACATGGAAGCCGATTTGGAGGTGAAGCAACCAACTTTTCTCCAGCATGATACGTAAACAGTGCCATCTTGTGGCCCAAGTAGTTTCCGGGCACACAGGCTAGACTGCTGACCATAAAGAAGAGAGTGTTTTGGTTTCATCCGTGAGTTTGCTTGATGATATTTTGGTCAGGTTGGCAGTGGCTCGGGAACTAACAAGAGCCATCTGAGTTCCCTTTTCTTCTCAGCAGGAGGCAGAGAAAACAGGGCAAAGACCTTCTTCCCCATAAAAGACATTTTACTGTACACAGTGCCACAACCCTGTCATGAGTGGGCAGGTTGGGGAAGTCTCTAGAAGGCCTCAAAAGAAGATTTGAACTTGAAATATGAGAATCCAAATCCATTGAGGGCGGGGGTCCGAGGTAGTGGGTAAGAAAACAGCAAGAGCAATAAAAACAAGTTCCTTGGACAGTGAAGAGGACCACTGCCCGACCCAGGATCTTTGGGAGGCCTGGGAACAGAGCTGCCCTCACCAGATGAGCCTGGTGGGGTGGGGGAGTTCTTCTGACACTGTGATCTCTGTTGCTCTAATTATAAAATATGACAACCAACACCTGATAAATTGACCTTCTGCGATAATTGAGGCAAACTTACTCACTAAATGTCTTTTTACTCTTTTTCTCCTGCAGAATCTGTTTGGTTTGTTGGTGTATGTGTGTTTTTTTTCAGATCACTAGAAAAAATGTGGCTGCAAAATGACATCTGCCATGTCTTCTCCAGACTAGAAGCCTGTCCTAAAGTTAGTTAGTTGAGATACATGCACATTTGCTAGAGGGGTTAGGACTGTTTGAGCAAGAGGCTGAAGTCGCCATTCTTAGAACAACCAGAGTGAAGCTCCCTTCACTGCTCTCACTTGTTTTGGGTTAATATTTGGGATATTAAAATTGCCTGCATTCTCTGTGGCACAGTAATTATTTACTCAGAATGTCAAATGATAAACTATAGTGTTTCCTTTTATTAAGACTGAAGTAATGAGGAGGAGATAAATTGCATTCCTAAATGAAAATATTTCTTTATAATCTATCTAAAATACAGCAACATAACCTTAACCTTTAACATCAGAGCAGGCAAATTTTAGCCTTCAAAATGGAGCTTCATCGGGGACTTCAGAACCGCTTTGCCAAGTCTTGACAATCAGGTGATAGGATGGATCTCAAACTCTAGCCTGTCTTACTCAACCCCCTTGAAGAGTGCCGTCATCCTCCTGGACAGATGTTAATCCTTACCTCGTTTTCTTAAAACTCATACTTCACATGGCCCAGAAAGGAAGCAGTGTCACTCCCCATTGGGCATGTCCAGGAAGGACACAAATGCTGCCACTGCCCCTCTCACTCCCAGCAGACCTCCAGGGCCTCCGCTCTGGAATCCAGTATGCATGTGACAAAGAGGACAACCCTGTGCTCTTGTGCCCTCAGGTACCCTCACATCCATCACCAACCTGGCTACCAGCCTGGCCCGGAACATGGACCGGCTCTCGCTGGATGAGGAGCACTACAACCGGCAGGAGGAGTGGCGGCGGCAACTGCCTGAGAGCCTGGGCGAGGGGCTGCGACAGGGCCTGTCCCGGCTGGGCATCAGCCTGCTCGGTAAGGGCTGGGCCACTCCCATCCAGTGCCGTTCTCCATGGTTGGCTGCTTTGCCTCCTCCCTGGGGATGGCTGTGAAGTTCACCTCCTTTCTGTAGCTAAAGCTGAGGCTCAGAAAGGACAATACCCTTGTCCTGGTGCCCACAGTGCCTCTGTGTTCATGTAGAACAGAACCCCATTTTCAGAGCCATCACATGGTCATGATAGGCCTTCCCAAGACCTGCCTGGCAAGGATGTTGGCCCACACAGACCCCTGTGTTCTGCGTTCCTTTGCTTCTGGTAGGAAATGTAGCTTGGGCTTCCATGTGGTGCTCCAAAGCAAAAAGTTAATTGTGTGGGATGCCCCTGAGCACAGTGGCGTCCACACAACACAGCAACATATCATCCTTTGCTCTTCACAGTAACAGACAGCCCTTCTGAAGCACTCACTGCTCCTATAGCAAATACCATGTGCGGGCGCCTGCTTTTGTTTGAACAGCGCTTGCACAGTCTACACGTGTCATGTGAACTTTGGCGAGGAGCCTGCTTTTCCTCTTATTTATTTATTCATTTATTTATTTTTGAGATCTGCCTGACTCAGAGCAATTATTGTTTTTCAAGCAGTCAGATGGTATAGTTAGAGGTGAAAATTGCTATGGATGTTTCAAAACATTACAAATGTTTGAAAATAAGTTGCTTTGGAAAATCTATAAAAAGGAAGCTGTAGAGCTGAAAGTTTGCATTGAAGGATTTTCAAGGGTATATTTTGTTTATTTGCTTACAAAAGAATTTAAAACTGTATAGCTTGGCAACCTGCCACCCACATGTCTGAGGGAGTGCGGGCTCTCAGAGATCAAAGTGACCAAGACAGTGCAGAGCACTGGGTGGGAAAGAGGAGCTTGAAAGCTCCATCCTCCCCCTGGTCTTCAGTTCTCTCTGCAGCCCCCCACCACCACTGTATGCAGCCAGCCCAGGCTGAGGGAGGAAGTAGTAAAAAGTTACAAGTACAGGCTAAGTCACTAGAAATTGTTTAAGTAATAACAGTACATGGTATAGGACACTGTCACTTGATAATGCAAGGAAACAGGGAAGCTAGTAACTTACAACAAGGGACAGGCTGGGTAAAGGACAATCTTCTTGCTTGACTCAGCAACCCAGAGAATGTGGGTCTCCCTTAGGGAAGTTGGTCTGATAAGTGTGGACCACAGCCCTCAGGACTCTGGGCCCCAGGCTTCAGTGTCCAAGTCCTTTCTTCTTGACCTCAGCTAAGTTCTTAACCTCTAATCCTGGGTTTCTGCTTTATAAACTAGGGCTGGTAATGCCATCGCTGAGAGTAACCACAGGCACAGGGTCCATGCTGGACAGACAGCACCTGTTTGTGTTGTGTTATGGTTTCAAAGAGTATCCCAGCAAAGAGGCCATTTGAGTAATGGCAAGAGCATTCTTGCTTTCATTTAGTCCAATGGATTAAGTTGCTAAAACTAGAGGAATGAACCATGATGTTTTCTTAGGGCTTCAAGGTCACTATTTTGGGACTTGGGGTCTTTTTTATGCTAAGAATTCTAGGCTTTAGTGCCCTCTACCCTGGACACAAGAGCTTCCTTCCCCTAGCCAAGCTCTTCCGAGAGTTTGCAAATGATCAGGAAGAAGAGGTCTGGTCTGGCCATTGCATGGCTGTCTCCAGCGTGTTCCTGATTCACCTTTAGCCTAAGGATTCTACTCTCTTCCGCACCCAATGAAGCCCCAGTCACTATCTAAAAGTGTGTCTGGAAATAGAGATCAGCTAGTTGAGGACCCCCAAGCTTGTCTTACTAAGGTCACTTTGGACCTGGCTCTCACTGACAGGGTAGAGCTCACAAAACCCTGATCTTTGCTGTGGTCATTGTGTCTCCTATGACTTTATCCATGCTGCTGGGGATATGGCTGTGAGCTTATGCTGTCTTTTCTCATTTCTGGTAATTTCCAGAAACCTGTGAGTTCTGGGGCTGACATAAACTCCCATACTAGCCTGCCCCAGCCCTTGGGAGCTCTGATCCCAGCCTAGCACACACCCTACTGCCATTTCTGGGCTCCTCAGAGTTCATTGTGGGTGTCTCTAGCTTGACCAAAGCAACTTTCTTTCCTCCTCCAAGAGTTCTGTCTGTGTATCTCAGGACCTCTGGCTCATCTCCAAATGCCTAGTCTGAGAACTACCAGTGTGAGAGGAAGGACAGGAAAGGAACAGGAACAACCAAGACTCTGTATATGAAAAATATAGATTTGTCACCATTCCATTCATCCCCAGAAATGGTGTTTAAAATAGCTAGATAGGATTAAATGCCTAATTGAAGTTAGAGCTATCCTGATATAGTAGTTTGAAACTCCTAGTAGGGAAATTGAAATTCTAGTTGTTCATTTCCTTCCTTTGTAATACAGAAACTTTAAGGACCCAGTTAATTTAAAAAAAATATACTTAAAGTACATTTTATGGTTGACAGGCATGAACGAAGTCAGGTGACCGCCCAGATCAAACCCTCCAACAAGGACAAGAACCTGGACTTTTCTGCCACCCCACCTTCCCCTGAAGGGCTCTGGGCTTGAAAACAGTCAGGATACAGGGAAACTTAACAATCAAATGTTCCAGGATAGGTGAAACATGGCTTCCACTAATGAATCTGGGTTTGGGGGATTTCTTGACTCTGCTTTTTCTGGTGATGCTGTGGAAGGTTGTGAGTCACCTGAAATCAAAGGAAATCTCCAGATGTCATGACCAGCCACGTGGACCAACCCCAGTAAGAAGTATCTTCCAGCTGTCTGAGAGAGGTCGCCGGGGCTCTGTGTCCCTTGAACAGGTTAGGGCTACCATGAAAGGGAAATGGGAGAAGACTGTAAATGAAGTAACCACTTACCCCCAACCCAATTTATTAATATGACAATATTTCCAAAAGCAACAGCTTTTGAGAGAACTCTGTTGTAGCCTGTAGGATTGGCATCAGCCTTTCCCACATTTACCAAATCTGTTTCCCCAAATATCTCCACTTGACCCTCTGCCCTGGAGCCTGCACTGTGGAAGGCTGGCAGCTCTACGTCTTCATTCCACTTCGTGTTCCTTCCCAGACCTGTTCCTTCTACAAACACCAAAGGCCAGGCCAGGCCACACCAGGCTGCTGCCTGATAGATCCATCATGATGCTGGATCCCCACAACCATACCCCTCCATCTCCTAGACACTCTTAGGGGCTCCTCTCAGAATCCCAACAAAACAGGCCTCTCCCAGGTGGAGCTGGAGTTTCCCTCCAGTGAGCAAGGAGGAGCTATGTGTAGCCACCAGAATCTCTCCTCAGCAGTCAGGTTGACAGATTGGAATTTCAGGGTGACAGACCAAAGTTTGCATATCTCTTCTATCAAAAACTACTGCCCTGGAGTTGGGATGTTTTCCATGCTATGGTGGGTCTCCTGTGTCTGGTGAGTTGTGGATGGAGTGGTGTCCCAATTTAGGCCTGTACCTCTGCTATTGTGACAAAAAAGTACCCAGCATAAGATTACACTGTGTGATAAGGCTGGCACCAAAATAGATCAGTGACTGAGCATCCTTGCCTGATGCTGCGAACAGTCACAGAGGAAGTAAAGGAGAGTCTCATAGTTTCCTTGCTTCTTAAAGAAGGGCCTCCTACAGCCAAGGTGCCCAAGAAGCCCCCACTCCCCCTGCAGCCCAGCCCAGCTCTCAGAGTCCCTGGCACCCCACCTAGGAGCATCCTTCTCTCCTCACCCTTGCATCACATCACAGTCCTCTCCATGTGGCCCCCACCCGTGGGCCTGTTGCCAACAGACAAGTCTTGAGATCAGTTTCCATTACTTAAAGCCTTAGAGTTTAAGTACATGATAGTAAATAATTTACCAGTTGTAGGAATTAGATGGATTAGACTTAATAAGAAGGCCTCAGCCCTGAGAGAAGTGGCCTCCCTCAAGGCAGGCTTGCAGAGGCCTGGAGTGGCTGCTAGTTTCTCTTGGTCTCTCTGTTCTCCAGCTCATCAGCACAGAGTGAGAGACTAAATAGAGAGACAGTAGCACCTGGTGACCAGTGAGGTGTCAGTGTGTGTGATGGGTGGCTTTTCTCCCATCTCTGATGCTGAGCTGAGGACATGCAGTCTTATGACTCTTTCTCCAACTCCTGTTTGCACCCTGTGTCGATGACCAGAGCTGGTCAGGGCTCCAGGTTCCTTGCATAGGTTAGGGCTAACGCATGAAAGGGAATGACTGTAAATGAGGGAACCATCTGTCCCCAACCCAATTTGTTTATTTATGTATTCTTTGATACTAGGGATTGAACCCAAGAATACTTAAGCCCTAAGCCACATCCCCAACCCTTTTTATTTTTTTATTTTGAGACAGGGCCTTGCTAAGTTGCTGAGGCTGACTTGGAGCCTGCGATCCTCCTGCCTCAGCCTCAGCCTCCTGAGCCACTGGAATTATAGGTGTGCACCATCATCCCTGGGTATCCCCCAACCCAATTTTAATACTCCTAATGAAAGCCACACTTGAGAAAAGACATTTCTACCAGGAATCTGGCACTAATTTAATCTATTGGTATTTTTGTAATAATTTTCCCATTTTTGTATTCTTAAGCACAACCTTTCAGAGAAATCAGATAATGAAACGATGAAACCTGCGTTCTTTAATCTGATGCTGCGCACTTTACCTGACATGGAATGATTTGAGAAGACCCAAAGTCCCTGCCTCTCCATTCCAGGGCTAGTGGTCTCTATCCCCGACCTGTGTGGCCACTGACCCTTGATCTTACAGGTAGAGAGCGGAGCATCTGATTCCTCAGCTCCGACAAAGTGAGGGACACTCAGCCCTGAGATCCAGGGTGGCCTGGGCCAACCAGTAGCAGCTAGCTCCTGTCACCTCCTGACATGTCTTTAGAGGGTTATGGTGGCATAGTTTAGGGTGGGAAACAGACCTATCACTTCAGTTAATTCTTAGTCTGTCAGTTCAGAATTTTAAATGACCCTTTCAAGACCTAAAGGACTGGAGCCCATGAACTGAATTCAGATCCTTAACCTTTGACCTGGAGAAACCAGCCTTTTGTTCAGTGAAATATTGCTTGAAATTAGCAGGTCACTAACTGGTGTCTAGAAATCTCTACTTATAAGAGATTCTGAATTGTTGACATTTGGAGTGATTGGATTTGAAATATGTAAAATTTCTACCAGGGGTGTGGGGGTTTTCATTAACCCTACCAGGTTTAAGTTGAAAACAGGAAATTCTATCAAGAACTCTAAAAAAATTTTTACTTCTGAGTTCGAGAACCCGCCTCTTCATCCTGAAAAAAGTCAGGACTCCTGAGGCCTTTCCTAGACTGGTCATTGTTCCCATGGAGCAAGAAGACACATCCAGACGAGTGGCCGAGGGATGTCTTTCATTTGTAACAACCTTTAAGCTCAGTAAAGGAAATGGTGGCCCTGTCATAAAGCAGTTGGAGCAAATTAGTGAAGCAGGGTTTTGGTAGCTATTCTGAAGTGAAAAGTAAGTAGCCAAACCTCAGTTGAAGTAAGAGAGAAAGAAGTTTTTCCAAGATTGACAGAGAGGAGAGAGCCTGTTTTATAAACAGGATAAGTGAAAATTTTGGTGGTTAAGAGCAGACTGTGACTCACACTCCTTGGATTCAAATCCAGGCCTAACCATTTAACAGCTGTGTGACCTTGGGAAAACTCCTTAACCTCTCTGTGCCACAGTGTCCTCTTCTGGAAAATTAGGTAAACAATGCTGATTCATGGAATTTTAGGATTAAATGATCTCATATAGGTGAAGCTCAAGCACTCAAGACAGGTTAGCTATAAGGAGAGACCATGATCATACCAATGGTTACTTTTATTAAATAATCATTAAATCATAATATTGATGATACTGCATTATTGATAAGTGATCATCGTTATTAAAAGTGGAGGCACAGAATGAGGCTGGCCCTTTTTTCTTGCCCCACTCTTTTTTTTTTTTGGAGGCGGGTACCAGAGATTGAACTCAGGGGCACTCAACCACTGAGTCGTATCCCCAGCCCTATTTTGTATTTTTTATTTAGAGACAGGATCTTTCTGTGGCTGAGGCTGGCTTTGAACTCATGATCCTCCTATCTCAGCCTCCAGAGCTGCTGGGATGTGCCCCACTGCACCCAGCTTTGCCCCACTCTTGATTGAGTGGAAGTTTACTAGGCTATGCAGGCTTTCTGTCCTGCTGAGGAATTGTTAGCTCTTCTTTTTTTTTTGCTGGGTGAAGAGGTTTAATGTGTAACAGTAGGCCAACTGGGGAGGACAAGACCCCCAAGACCCCAGCCCTTCTCCCATGACGTCCCGGGACCTGAGTGCCTGGGCCAGTCCTATGCCTGCCCCAGCCCTGAGGCTCCCTGGTCCCATGAATCATGGGAAAGAAGCTGGATGGCTGGGGGCTCGGCCCCCAGAGTTCTTGTTGGCTCTTGTTAACGTGTGTTGTCTTATTTGGGGGAACACATAGGTAGCACTTGGAAATAATCTGCTGTGGTTGATCCTGACACTGTGGACCAAACCCAGTCTGCACATTGTGTTTCAATGAAGATGAAAAATGTCTAATGTAAACAGCCCAAAGTATACTCACATAATTGGTAAATAAATGTAAAGAACTTTATATTGAGGGTGGGGATTCATTTTCAATCCAAATAAAACTACATGCCAGACTGAGCTTTTCATTTTCTGAGGATTTTAAGCCTCTATACTTACTGGGGGCTTTTGTTATTTCAGGTGCAATTGCTGGTATAGTCGATCAGCCGATGCAGAACTTCCAGAAAACATCCGAGGCTCAGGCTTCAGCCGGACACAAGGCCAAGGGTGTTATCTCTGGTGTGGGGAAAGGTATCATGGGGGTGTTCACGAAGCCCATTGGAGGAGCTGCTGAGCTCGTGTCACAGACCGGCTACGGTAAGAGACTTACTGATGAGTTTGCATCATGGCACCCAGGTTCCCTGAGGTCCTCTGTCCCTTCACATGGGAAAAGAGAGAAAAGTAAAATAGACAAATAGTAGCAGCCTTTCTTGCCTCCCTGTGCTTATTGACACAAAGTAGGATTACACTACTGAAAAAGAAAAGAAAATTATAGACCCAGAACACCAATTGGTAATTTCCATTAGCAATTTCAGAGGAGATTCTTTGATCCTGTGTCTCCGAATCTTTTTTACAGTACACTTAATAAAAAGGATTCTAATGAAAAATAACCAGTTAGAGGTCGAGAGCAATATGGAGAACACACTGCAATGGAGAAAAGAATGACCACTGTTTCCCCAGTGAGGAATCTGGAAGGAAAGGCAGGATATTAGGCAGGAAAAAATCTAAGAGCCAGTGCCGGGCGTGGGGAACCTGCACAGAGCCGGGCTGGGCGGGTCTTTGGGTTGGGGTGGCTCTCTCACCTGCAGACGCCATCCTGCTGCTTCCAGACAGGCCGGTCCCTGGCACGTGGAACTGGACTCTGCAGTGAGAGCCCTTTCCCAGGCGGACAGCAGGGGCCCTGCAGCCTATGACACTACTTGTACCTGGAAAGGCCACGCCAGGGCCTCTCCCCACACACGCCTCTCCTTCTGTGCTGATTTTACAGGATCTCAGCAGAGCACCTGAAAGTGACTTTTAGTAAACATGTGACTGGAATTACATTTTTACCTAAGATTGCTGTCATCATTCTGGTCACGAAGCAGGGCCATCCAGCAATGTCTCAGACCACATGAAGGCCAGACACCTAGCACTTGCCTGCCTCTGGCCCTCAATCCCTGGGTCTCACTGTACTTGGGCACCCTGTACTCAGGAGGTCTGACCCGAGGCAGCCCCATCAGGGCATAAAACTAGTATCTAAAAGGGAGAGAGTGGGACAGAGGCCCCAGGGAGGCAGCCAGGAGAGCCTCTGAGACCACACAGGCACGAGCAGTGCCCTCTTGGCTCCAGCCCTCCCTCTCCCTCTCCACTTCCCTCCCTCCCCCTCTCCCTCCCTCCCTCCCTCCCTCTCTCTCTCTCTCTCTCTCTCTCTCTCTCTCTCTCTCTCTCTCTCTCTCTCTCTCTCTCTCTCTCTCTCTTTCTCTCTCTCTCTCTCTTGAACGACACACTCGCTCCTCACAGGAAAGCTGACAATAAGAATCGCTGCAACTTGAAAGTAGAAAAAGTCAAACTCTCCCTTATCAAATGCTTAGGCCTTATATGTTAGGGTTTTTTTTTTTTTTTAAAGTCTTCCTTTTGCTGCAGATTCCTGTGAAGTAAAGTCAACTCGTACTTCATAAATTCTTTTGGTTTTGAAAATGCTGTTGTCTCTTCCCATGTTTCCCAGGGCTCAGCCTTATGTAAGAGCATCTCGGAGTAGGCTTCACATGGCCTCTTGGTTTCCATCACTCTTGTAAAACTTTTATTACCACACTGAAGGTTTTACAAACCACTAACTCTTAGTCTAATGACTATGCCTCGTTTATAAATATTTACAAGCCCTCAGAAAGCACACATGCTGTACCATCTTTGGTTCTGGAGAGCCTCTTTGGAAGCTTGTGTGGCTGCTGCTGGGTACCCTCATTTGGTGCTGGCACCAGGGAGAGCATGTAATAAACCAGAGGCCCCAAGAGCGCTCATAAATGTATATGGAATCGTGTTTAACAGCTGGATTAAGTCACTTAGCATTTAAATGCTGTATCTAGGCAAACCATGTGCCTTCATATGCATCTATGTGTGTGTTGCGTTTTTATTTCACCAGCCATAGCACAGATACAGAAGTATTATAATAGGCAAGGAGGTCAACTAGAAATCTTGACTTTTTTAACACAAATCGTAAATGACATGTCTGTCAGCTGTTGTTCATGAGGAGCTTCTCTCAGGAGTGTTATGCTTCCTCTAAGTGCTAGTCCTTGCTTGGACTGTAGCATAGTTGCATTCAGTTTGTAGCTAATGTAAGACTGCCAGGGTTAAGGACACTGTAATGTCTAATGGTTATCGATACACTTGCTTCTCAAGATGTGACATCATTTTGGATCTGTAACATTTTATGGATGGTTCTAAGCAGATGACATCACTGCAGCATGGAAGTGTTTTCCAGAAATCAGCCAGTACACTCCCTTGCTTCTCTCCCCACAGGTATTTTACACGGAGCTGGACTTTCTCAGCTTCCCAAACAGCGCTATCAGCCAAGTGATCTACATGCTGACCAGGCTCCAAACAGCCATGTCAAATATGTCTGGTAACTTATTGAAACACTTGCTCAATTTTACATCCCCATTGTATGTTAATAGCTCCTGGCTTGCTCCCAAGCTAATGGGCCATGCTCCAGGGGAGTCCAAGAGGAGCAGTCATTCTGGGCACTGGCCTCTTGGGCAGTAGTAGCAGAGCATCCTAGAGGACCGGGGAAAAGCTGCTGTTTCCAGGTTTGAGGCTGGTGGCAAAATTCTGTTCCACCCTGACCACTCAGGGAGAGGGCAGACATTGGCAGAAAAGCCAGGACCAGTGAGAAGGCCTGAGATTACCTGAGGAACCCACACTCTAATTAGGAGGTATCAGTTTTAATGGAGAGAAGCAGCACAACAGAGCCATGGGAAATCTTTGTTCCCAGGAGGAGCCGGACCTGACAATTAGCATTTCAAGCTAAAGTGAATAATCAGATTGGTGAGGGCACTTTGCCCTTGGGGAGATTTGTGTAGGATTGTCCCAAGTCTTTGGTAAACAGTGAGCACTGACAAGTGACTGCCTTTCCCAAGCCATCTCTGGGCCTCACACACTTTCTTTTAAACAGGAAAATGCTCCAGTCTCTGGGCAGACCAGAAGTCCACATGGCCTTGGATGTGGTTCTCGTGAGAGGTTCAGGCCAGGAACATGAAGGGTGCCTGCTGCTGACCTCAGAAGTACTCTTCGTAGTGAGCATCAGCGAGGACACGCAGCAACAGGCCTTCCCCATCACAGAGATAGACTGCACACAGGACAGCAAGCAAAGCAGCCTGCTCACTGTACAGCTCAAGCAGCCGAGAATGGCCTGTGATGTGGAGGTACACTTCAGAAAATGGGAGATGGGCTCACTACTGGGCAGGTTGAGACACAGGCCAGTCACTGGTGCCCAGGCATTTATGTGTCTCAGGAGGGGCGGCCGGAGACCTGGAGAGCTGTGAGACAGAACGGATTGTGAAGGTGGTGGGGAGTGGGGTTTACTGGAAGACCCCACCAGTATGCATGCGAGCCCTTCCCAGGAGGCCTGGGGTGAAGCACCAAACGAATAGAACAAGGCCCTTCCTGCTCCATTGTCAGAGGGCTCAAGTGCCTCATGCCAGGACAGGACAGTGCAGTATGGTGGGACTCCAAAATGAGTGGGATGGCCTAGGAAAGGTGAGGAACACAGCGGCAATTCCTGGCAGCTACCCACAAAGGAAGCCCCAGTCTACACACAGCCTGCGAGCAGCTCCAGCAGGCCTGTGGGTACAGGAAGAACTGATGCAAAAGTGAGGGAACCAAGATGAGGGCAGGGCCCCCTTCAAGCTGATGCAACCAAAGGTTCCTCCCTCAACTCCCTCCACAACATCCAACCCCAGAGATTTATTTTATAAATAGATCTCTTTCCTACCCACTGCTTTAATTCTCAAGAATAAGAACAATTTCCTGTCCTGTAAGTAACACAGGTTTGGGGATGGTGCAGCTTCCTGGTCCCACAGTTCCTGGGACACATAGGGTGATATGGAATAGATGCTCAGGTGGGGCATCCTGAGAGTCAGGGCTGAGGTGAGCCCCAACCAGTGGCTGCAGCCTCCTGAAGTCCAGCTTAGCGCAAGCAGATGCACCTACTGGAAAATTGCTCTGCATCTCTGCCTCCCAGAGATGGCCTAATCCACAGCCCTAACTGTTGACCCAAGAAATGAATCTTTTTCCATATGGCAAGATGGGGTGATCAGTGGCAAGCTGTAGCTTACTGGTCCTAACTGAGGACTGAGTGGCCTCAGCAAAGACAGCAAGCCTTGCTGATTGCTTTTTTTCATTATTTTCTTCCTGATGTGGGAGCCTGCCTCCCTCACACCACTGTTTGGGTAAAAATTATCTGAGAAGATGGAAAGCAGCCAACCACAACAACTCTTAGGATTTCTCTAGTTTCTTGGATCATAATCAGTCAGGCTTTACGCTGGGGCTTGGCACCAGGGCTATACTGCTGCTTTGAGTTGATGACTTTCTGGGAATAAACAGAGGTCAGATGTCCAGGCTGACTTTATTAACATTTGCCAAAAATCTTCTGATCCAGTTGACAATAAAGCAGCAGTGATCTGGCTACAGGATTTGGCAGAGGATAGTATCATTATCTTCAAGTCCTTAGTCCTTAACAAGAAACCTCCAAGACCCTAATATCTGTGACCATCTTTTTTCCTTCGCTGGCCTAGGAAAAGCTGAAGGCCTTAAACGACTGAGACTGGAGATTCATCTTTTGCCGTTAAACTGTCTTCAGTTGTGATCCTTCTCCTTTGCATTTCTGTTTGTGAAGGATACTGAGAGGACTCATTGTATCTGGAGAGAAACAGACCTGTTCCCCCAGGGGTTATGGAGATGATAGCAGGAGTCAGTACCCTTAGCAGGTGCCAAGGCTGAGACCATGGAATCACCGAGTTAGAGGTGGAAGCACTGGGGCTCGGAGATCATGCTCAATACTGGCTTTCCCTCAGAGTGCAGGAATAAAAGAGGATTGGGATTCAGGGATGGCTAAGAGAAGACAGGTAAAGAGGAGACCAGGAGTGTTGCACAACAGCCATTAGACATGCAGAGCTCTCAAAAGCAGCACCTGGCAGTGGGCAGAGGGTGGATATCCAGTGTGCCCCATCTCCACATCCTGCTTTCTTCATATCTACTCCACCTTACGTCCCCACCTCAACTCCTAAGAGACTACCCCCTTAATCCTGTGTCCATACCCTAGCCTCCCCCACTCACCCCAGAGAAAACCCAACTGCAGAGTACTTTAATCTTAGTCCTTCATTAAAAGGACTGTAAATCAAGGTATTTTCCACAGGGGAGAAAAGGGGCTTTGGGGTGCTGCTTTGACACACCCCACTCCTGTCAGTGCCTCTCAACATAATGCAGGTATAGAGCATGGTTAGGAAGCCTACCTGCTGTCTTGCAGTGAAAATCAAGAGCAGTATTTCAAGCTGTTCATATAAAACAGCTTTTCTGGTTTATTGCTTTTGCCTTAGAGGCTAGGAATCATAGCTCCTTTGAATTTTGGAAGGAATTAATTTGTAGATGACATCATTCAGTATATTCAAATATGGCAGGATTCAGATATTTTAAAATCAGCATTTGCTTTTCTTGGTTAAATGCAGCCATTTTTAGGGGTAATAATTGCTTAATATGCCTGGCACGTTATTGAAATCCCTTATGAGAGGCTCAAAATGAGTCAGAAGGTCAATTTATTCCTTGGCCAGGTTCCTTTCACAACACGCGTTTTCCTGTGCTGCTGTTCAGGAGGAGCAATTAAGACTTTTTTGTGTATTCAAAGCTTTCCAGCTGAATTCTGGCCCCATCAAATGATATCATCGGAGCTCTGGCTTTTGCCTGGTGGTGCACAGCTTTCATCTGTCAGTGAATCTTTGGGAGCCTTTCTTTTTTCTCAAGCATGAAACTAAGACAAACTCTAGGATGTCCTTATTCCTCTGGCAGGCCCCTTGACTCTCTTTGCCATCTCCCTGGCTTTCTGCAGCTTTTAAGACATTTTCAGCTGCGCTGTTTCTGGGTCCTATACAGAAATATAAAATTATTTACCACTACTTTGAGAACCAAAAAAGCCCTCATTAAACTGCTTATAATTCTTCCAGTGTGGTCTTGCCAACATTCAGTAGGTAAAAACCACTACAAGGTCAGTAGCTACTTAATTCTCAGATCAGTGGCTTGCACTGCAAACTTCCCACTGTGCTTGATCAGCACACTAGATAGCTGTTGCAGCTCCAACTGCCTTTGATGGGCACTTTCTCAGAATAGCTCACATAAGAAGTCAGCATATCTCAGTTCTCCTCTTCAGTTCCACTGAAGATGAGCCAGACTTTTATGAACCGTAAATGTACTTTGCATCCTCCCTCTTTTCCATAAAAATTTCCCCTTCCTCTGCCCAGCTTTTCTGTTTTCTCTGGCTTTAAACCATAGTATTTATAAAAACAGAAAACGTTACAGTTCAAAAGGTATTTGTTTTTTTAATGCTCTGCCCAGAGCCACTGGTTTGAACGAGGTCCTCTTCTCCACTTTCTGTCAAACTGAAGAGGTTTTATCTTAAGAGGTTCAGGGAGCCCAGTTAACAGAGCTTTTATTTTGGGATGCTGCGTTTAATGTTGATTAAATTTAAGCACAGGGGGGAAAGAGACATTTTTTCTTCTTTGTTCCTGGGCTGCTTGTTAAAGAGCAATGACAGATGTTTTAATACTTAATGGGTAAAATGTTATCAAATCATCAACTTCAAACACGGGAACTTTATGCAACACCAGATGTTTTATTCAAAGAGTTTCTCTTAATATTCGAACACAGAGCTTTTGTTATATTGCTGAAACAGTGTTATTGCCACATCTCATAGGCAAAATAAAAGGAAACAATGCTTTGGATAAAATGGCTTTATTAGATGACCTAAAAGGCATCAAGGAAAAAGAATAATTTTGTTGTGGAAGTCTCATTATAAGACCTGACAACTAATGAATCTTTATTCTTGAACACAGGTAGACGGAATCCGAGAGAGACTGTCAGAGCAACAATACAACAGACTTGTGGACTATATCACAAAGACGTCTTGTCACCTGGCCCCCAGCTGCTCTTCTGTTCAAACACCATCCCCTGTGGTGGCTGTGGAACCTCCCCTTTCCACTGTTAAAACATACCATTATTTGGTGGACCCACATTTTGGTCAGGTCTTCATTAGTAAATTTACCATGGTGAAGAATAAAGCCCTAAGGAAAGGGTTCCCTTGAATCCCTTCTAAGATGATGATTCTTGCTTGTGCAGTTTACTTTTTAAACAAAGAACCTAGAGGTTAGCCAAGAGATACGGAGTCAATGATTAGCTCCAACATTCATTGTGGACAAAAGACCAACACTTTTCGGTGGTTCAGGTATATAGTAACTTCTAAAATTATCTTAGTATCTTTCTCCCTAAAAACAAATTAGATACTTTAAGATGGAGTTTAAAAAAAAAAAAAAAAAGAAGAGTAAGAAGGCCGTTTGCTAAAATTTTCACAATAATTTGGACCTGTTAATGCTCTGCTCTACAGAAAAATACATGGTTAGGCCTTAGAATGCAGAGCCAGAATTAAAACTTCATCCCTAATTCCATCTGTTTTTGGGGACTGAGATACCACCTCTGCCCAATACCCCTTTTTTGCAAAGGTTGATTCTTTAAATGAAATGAACTTAGAACTCTGTTGGTTAACTTGTTAAATTTACTTAACTACAGCAACATTCTTTTAGTGAAAGCTACTACGTGTATTCCCTCCAAAGTCTGCATTTTACTGAAATTCACAAAACAGTCTATGACTCTGGGTACATTTTAGAAAAATGTTCTTCCAATTTGTGTTTTAAATAGACAAGCTAAAAATCATTTGTGTCTGCCAATGACAGACCTGAAGTACTCAGGTGAGTTTCTTTAGTTCCACAAATAACATGTTAGGAACTCCTGGAAGGGGAGCCAAGAACACAACATTAATACTAGCAATGACATCAGTCCAGATAGTTTATTTTTCTGATTTGATAAAGCATGAAGATATTGCTAAATATTATTTTGCATCTCAGATTGGGTTTGACTCAGGGTCTAGAGTTACCAGATAAGTATCTTTCTCATGGTCTAATTAATTAAATTTGTCTTATTACTTTCAAACTTGGGCCTATAACTTATTGCCTACAATTGTGAAATGCTAAGAAAATGCAATTTTAAAGCCAACTGATCTTTGACTGAACTCTCACAGAGGTGTAGGCACAAGTCACCACACCACTATATCACTGTTAAAGGAAAGCAAGACTGTTAATGGACAATTCAGGTTGTATATGAAAAACGGCTCCTCAGTTTGTTATATATACTTGTTTAGGAAAGTGACAGTTTTGTCAATCCCAAGAGTAACTATTTTTAAGAATGTAAATATGTACTAATTCTTGTATGTTTTATGGTAATTTTGCATACTGCTAAGAACTGTTATGTAAAGTTGTTTAAAATAAAAGGTGTCCTTGAATTTCAGGCCATATATAAACATCTATTTTTAACCAGGAGTTTTTAAGATGAAATTTTTCATTAATACCATCTGAGTTTGGTACAGGTTACATCACTGGGATTCAATTTTGCATGAGTTAAAAAGGGTAAAAGACAGTTTTTGTTATCTTCAAGTGATAATTCATCACTAAACTAGCTTTGGATAAAATAAATAAATCAAAGTGCTCTATAGTATCATTTTGATCACAACAAAAGGAAGTTATAAGAATTCTTTAATATCTATTTTTTAGTTGTAGAACTAAAAAATATCTTTATTTTATTTTTATGTGGTGCCGAGGATCAAACCCAGGGCCTCGCACATGCTAGGCGAGTGCTCTACCACTGAGCCATAACCTCGGCCCCCACACAGATTTTATTGGACGAACTTTCACTGTCCTTTAAGAGTCCACAATACAGAAATTTTCTATGGACTCCTGGAGACCCTTTCAAGGCCAGGACCAGGTAACTGCACCTGGCAGTATCTTAGTGAAACAGAAAAAACATCAGGGCAATTAAAGATGTACAAAAACAGGGCAGGGGTTATAGCTCGGCCTCATACATGTGAGGCACTGGGTTCGATCCGCAGCACCACACAAAAATATTGTGTCCACCTTAAAAAAAATAAATCTCTAAAAAAATGTATAAAACAATGAAAATACTGAAATCAAATTATCTTCATAAGGTTCATAAACAGTGCTAAAAGTTTCCAACCAATTACGATGCTTTTGGGCCCCAAATTATCAATAAGAATTGAGCAAAACATTGTATACAGTATTTGTTAATTGTTTATTTACCAAGAAAAACTATTTCTTAGCCCACATATTCATGTTTAATAGTTCAGGAGCATAAGTCAGTACAAACTTCTAAGGACCTCAATCCAAAGAAATTCTGTGGAGAGAGAGAAAATAGTTAAGTTAATAATAAACATTGTCTCTACTACTCACTACCTCACAACCTTTTGAGATTAACTGAGGTCTACTCCTTATTAGTAGACCCTACATTTTCACTGCTCACCTTCAACCCCAGGAGAAACCTCAGGCTGCCTAAGCTCTTATGTTCATTCTCCTACCAAGCTGCTTGACCACCCTAACTAGCTAGCCTCTTTTTCCATTTTGCACAAAACATATCTTACACTTACTTCTTGCTTTCATTTAACAAATTCTGCTTTCTTCCCCCTGCCAAGACCAACCTCTCCCCCATTCCCTCTCATATCTACACCTGTTGTTATAAAAGAACTCATTTGTTCCAAATTGTTTGTTTCCAAATCATCATTGTTCTTACTGGTTTTTAGAACAATCACCTTAGGAAAAGAGGTAAAAAAAAATAATAATAATCTGACAAATATAAAAATTAGCCTAATATCATCTAATTATGAGATACATGCCCACTGTAGAAAATTTGAAAATTTCAAAGTTAAAACAGCAATGTTAAGAATTAGACTATTAATATTTTTGTGGTTCTTTTTCCCTGTGCAAGTCTCACAATAGCTCATCCCTACACATCTTAGTACATTTATCTGCATTTCTAGAATTAAGTAATATAAGGCAAAAATCGCTCATAATATAAATTACATTTAACAATACCATTTAACACTATCATAGTATAAATTACATTTAACATTATACATCCTTTCAGATCAATTTAGTAAATGATCTTTCATCAGCACACCATTCAATTCACTTTTAGATGTAGAACCTTAATTCACACAAGAGATATAAGGACCTCATGGATATGACAGACCAAATCAGAATCTACTCCCAAAAAACTAGCATATCAACTGTGGACACTCTAACATAAACTATAAAAGGTATCTATCTAGCCAGGCTCAATGGCACATGCCTGTAACCCCAGCAATTTGGGAAGCTAAGGCAGGAGGATTACAAGGATTCCAGGCTTCTGTAATTTACCAGCACGTGTCAGGCAGTGGGATGGATCCTCAGCACCACATAAAAATAAATAAAATGAAGATACTGTGTCCATTCACAACTAAAAAAAAGTATATGTGTATGTATGAATATATGCTGGCTAGAATAGAACATCCCTGGGTTCAATTCTCAGTTCTTAAATAACAAGAACAAAGGCAAAAACACCATTGTTTTTTGAAAAGTCACTTCTTTCTAAAGAAATGATTTTCCTAATGCCAACCTATCAGTTAATGACAAAATATGTGAAATGATTTTGAACATAAAAAGGAACTTCCTATGTCAGATGTAAGATGATACTGGACTATAAAACTTCCTATGTAAGATGATATTGGACTATAAAACTCCAGACCACACCCCTCCTACCCCTCATAAAACATATGTAGGCTTGCAATAATTCTAGAAACCAGTTAAGCTGCAGCAACCAAATGAACACCTAACCAAGAAGAAAACCCCTCAAAATAGGAAATTTTGTGACATTTTTGCTTGACCTTGCCCCAACCCCTCTTCAGGTAGTGCAGTGTTATATGAAGGAAACCACCCAATTCCTGGCTCCTCCCTGGGATTAAAGGTGAAGAATACAACTTGCTTATTACAACATGCTGGCTCATCTGGGTTTCTGTCTTGCCTGATTTGGAGCATTGATGGGAATAGTGGTAGTCAGAATATCAGGTTGGAAACAAATGAAAGCAATGGTGGATGCCTTGGCATGAGAGCTGCAGACAAACTGAAGCCAAGAAATTATAAGAGGCAGAGAATAACTAGGGTTCCAAGAGGAAGCAGGACTGAAACTTTTTAGGAAAATTAAGAATAACTGGGCTGGGGATGTGGCTCGAGCGGTAGTGTGCTCACCCGGCATGCATGGGGCGCTGGGTTCGATCCTCAGCACCACATAAAAATAAAGATGTTGTGTCCTCCGAAAACTAATAAATAAATATTAAAAATTCTCTCTCTTAAAAAAAAAAGAATAATTATGAATATTCAGAAACTGTAACAAAAAATGAATGTAGATACATTCTCAGGAAAAGAGGATTCTGAAGGCTGTATGCCAGGGGATGATTAGTGAAAGTTTTCTCCCATATGCAGTCAAAATCTGCAGAGTGAGAGATAGCTGTTTTGTTCAAATGCCCAAATTGCCACAAAAGATTACAAAGCACACAAACAGAGAAATATGGCCCAAGAAACAATATCTCCAAGAACAAGCCACAAAGAAACACTGACTTCTGACTAAAAACTTAAAAACAATTATCTTAGTATGTTCATTGAGTTTGAAGAACAAGAACAGATAAATAAAAATCAGGAAAACAACATGAATAAAATAAAAATAATCACAAAAACTGAAAAAATCAAATATTTGAAGAATTAATGCCAATCCTCTTCTAAAACCAAGAAAAAAAATACTTCAATACTTAAGATGGACAAAAAAAAAAAAGAGAATTATAGGCCAATTGCACTAATATTGATGCAAAAATCCCTGATGAAACACAAGTAAACCACTCAATAGCACATTGAAAGGATTACACATGAGGGCCAAGAGGTTTATTCCCAAAATGCAAGGTATGGTCAAACAAATTCATAAATGTGAAACATCATAGTAACAGAACAAAAGATTTTTTTTTTTTAAATTACATGAGTATCTCAATAGATGCAGAAAAAAGTCTGATAAAATCCAGAACCTTGTAATGATAAAAACAATAAACTAGGTACATAAATAATGTACGCTAAAATATGTGTCCTTTATAAGCTATTCAATATAATATGTACTGAAATCCTAATCAGAAAAATTAGACAACAAAAAGAAAAGACATCCAAAAATTGAAAGAAGAAAATTATCCCTGAAAGTAACAAGACCTTGTCTATAGAAAAGTAAGGATTCCACACAAAAAATAAACTCATTAGAATAAACAAAATCAATAAAGTTGCTGAATATAATAATCAGTTGTTTTTCTACACTAACAATGAACATTTTAAAGAAAACAGTCCCATTTACAATAGCATCAAAAAGAATAAAACAGGAATAAACTTTACCAAAAACATAAAAGACAAACTAAAAATATAAATAAAACAATTCCATATTCACGGAGTGCAAAACTTTGTAAAGATGTCCATACTAAAAAAAAAAAAAAAAAAAAAGGATTACAGTTCAGTTCTAACCAACGCAATCTACAGATTTAATGCAATCCCAATCAAAATGCCAACAGCATTTTTGGCAGAAATAGAAAAAGCCTTCCAGACTCTCAAAGTACTCTAAATAACTAAAACAATCTTGGGGAGGAGGGGGGGAGGAATTCACATTTCCTCATTTCAAAATGAACTACAAAGCTATAGTAATGAAAACAGTGTAGTACTGACATGAAGACAGGCATACAGAGCAATGGAATATAACAGAGAGCCCAGAAACAAATCCTTGAATATGTAGACAACTGATTTTCTACAAGTATGCCAAGACCATTCATTGGGAGAAGACAATCTTAACAGGACATCCACATGCTAAACAAGTTATATATTTACACCATATACAAAGATTAACTCAAAATAGATAAAAGAGGGCTGAGAGGTAGCAAGGTCATGGGTTCAATTCCTTTAAAAAAAAAAATCAAAGCACTAAAACAATAAAATGCTTAGAAAAAAAGATGAACTGGACATCAAAATTTAAAACCTCTGCAAAGGATGCAATCCTCAGAGTGAAAAGGTAACTTGTGAAATAGGAGAAAATATATACAAATCAATCATATCTAATAAGGAGTTATATCCAGAATGATATAACTGATATAATGAGCCCCCACTACTCAACCAAAAAAACAACCAAATTCAAATATGAATTTAAAAATGTGGAATTTTTACAACCTCCAATATACCCAACAAGGATAAACAAATGACCGATAAGAACATGAAATGATGTTCAACACTGAAAATCATTAGGAAATGTATATCAAAACCACTGAGATCTCACCCACATTAGGAAAGTTACTACCAAAAAATAAAAGAGTAGGGCTAGGGTTGTGGCTCAGTGGTTGAGCGCTTGCCTCGCACACGTGAGGCACTGGGTTCGATCCTCAGC